TCTCTCTCTCTCTCTCTCTCTCTCTCTCTCTCTCTCTCTCTCTCTCTCTTTCTTTCTTCATGGTACATAAAATAATAACATGTCTTGTAATCCATTCTGTCTGGATTTAACAAAACACAGTAAGTTCAGGTTCCATTTCCCCAAAATTCTATCTGCAAAGGGACAAACTAAAGTCAAATTGAAATTCAGGGACAGGCAGAGCCAGGGTGCAAGCTGAAATGAGGCCTGGGAATTTGAGTCAAGGAGGAAGACTGCTGCTGGTGATGTGTGGGGTAGAAGGACATCTGGCCCCAGCACTGTTCCTGGTGGAGGAGGGCAGGTGCTCCTTCAGTGCTTACTGAGGTGAACTCAGTTCAGCTCGATTGTTCTGGAGTTGCCAGAGCAGGAGCCAGTGCTTGAGAAAGCTGGACAGACCAGTGTGGGCAGTGCCAGGTCTGGGAATCAGCCCTCTGGTGTTGTAGTTGGATTATATACTTAGCAGAGCTGACTGGCCTTTGTTCCTTTGGGGACTAAGGAGGAAAGCCAGACTTTTTGCAATCTGTACCACCTGTCACCCTTATGCCTTCACTTGACAGTAAGTATAGCTCCTTTTATGTTCCGTGATCTGTCTGCTTGTGCTGGAGGCCTAAGGGAGATAAAACAGTACAGTAAAACCTTGGACTGGGAGTAATTTGGTTTGCGAGTGTTCCACAAGATGAGCAAACATTTCTATTAGGTTGGTGCAGAAGTAATAGCGGTTTTTGTAATAGCAAAAACCGCTATTACTTCTGCACCAACATAATAATACATTTAACTTGGTAAACGAATGATGTCTCGCAATACGAGTAGATTGTTTCCAGAATGAATTATGCTCGCAAATGAAGGTGTTACTGTATTATATTTCTTAAGACAGTCCCAGAGGAAGCAGTGAAGCCTCCAGGGTAGTGGTGGCACTGATTTAGAGAACCTGGGAGTTAGGAAGGGAGCATGGAGTGACAGACTGATTAACAAGACCCTCATTCTTACAGCCAAAACATGGGGAGATGGATGGCTGAGGGCAGGGAAATGGCAGTAACAGTGGAGCCTGGTGAGCTCCAGAGAAGAGGGTTCTGGTTTGTTTTATTCTCGGCTGTATCTCCAAGAACAGTACCCGGCAGATAGCGGGCACTCAATAAACATCTATTGTTGTTGTATAGGACCTGCCTGTACTGCACAACCCCACCAACATGGCTGCTTTTGGACACACGTTCCCCTTCTATGCTGGCCCCAAGCCAACTTTCCCAATGGACACCACCTTGGCCGTCATCATCACCATCTTTCTGACTGCACTGGTCACCTTCATCATCATCCTGCCTGGCATTCGGGGCAAAATGGTGAGAAACAAACCTAACCCTGGAGACCTCACCCCAAGAGAGACCTTGGCCTCAAGGTGAGGGGGCCAGACTCTGACTACAACCAGACTCAGAAAGAGGCTCCCGTCCTGAGAAAGCATCCTCCCCCAACAGAAAGTTCCCCCACTCATTGATGAATGGGGGATGATTAGTGAGCACCTATTATGTGCCAGGCACTCTGATCTCAACTGATCAAGTGACCTGTTTAAGAGCACCCTCCCCAAGTCTGGAAAGAGGAAGGGTGGATTTGGAAGGAGGGTGCTCCTTCCTAAACCCTCCACCCTGTTATGGCTCAGAGGCTGTTCTGGCTGCTGCGAGTGGTGACAAGCTTATTCATCGGGGCTGTGATCCTGGGTGAGTGCAAATCACAGCTGACTTGAGCAGTGCCTCCATCCCATGTGGTTCCCTCAGCAGCTGGCCTGGACTCTCCTTCTTTCCCCACATCAGCCTCTGCTTCAGGGTGGGCTTCCAGATTCTGCCCACCTGCCTCCCTCAACGTGGCCTTATCCCCTCACTCTTACCCTTGGCCTGAAGAGTGTGGGCTCTGGGAAGCCACCCTGGATGCATCTCTCCAACCTTCCTAACATTTCTATTCAGAGGAAAGTAGGTCAAAATGAATGTCTGTGGGGAGAGGGTCTTTGGAGACTGGAGGGAGGAAATGGAGGAGGGCTGCTTGCTTTGCTTTGAGAATTAGGCAAATAGGAGAGATGGAAAGTTTCTGTGTTGAAGCTGTGTTTGCCCAGGATAGTTTATTATGTTAATTTTTCCTTCCCCAGCTGTTTGAGTAGCTTTCCCTAAATGGGGGAGGTCGGGAGGGGAGGTGTAAGAGGAGTAGACCAAGGGAAATCTTGGATTCTTACCCATTTATTCATCCCACACATATTGTTGGCAAGCCAACCAAGAGCCAGACTCTAGCTAATTAATGGACACACAATTGTGAGTAAAACAGATATGGTCCCCTTGTAGCTCTCCCTCTGACTCTAACCCAGCAATGCCCAGAACTTCGTGAGTTCCTATATGTCTAATTCCCCAACCCCAGCTGTGAATTTCAGTTCTGAGTGGTCCGTGGGCCAGGTCAGCACCAATACGTCATATAAAGCCTTCAGTTCCCAGTGGATCAGCGCTGATGTTGGGCTGCAGGTTGGACTGAGAGGAGTCAACATCACACTCACAGGTGAGGGAGGGCTCTTACCTATCAGGGAGCGGAAGGCTCTGTTCTCTGCCTGGGATATAGTTTGGTGTGGTCTAAAGAGCTACGATTGGGGAATGATAGGAGGGAAATTCGTAGGCCTAGGCCTTCTCTCCATTGAGACCAGCCTTGCCCCATGTTGTGGGCCCCTACCCAGGCAAATGCCCCACTCTGACCCTTGGGTCCCTGCTGAGCACAGCTGCCCCATTTCCCAGGGACCCCAGTGCAGCAGCTGAATGAGACCATCAGTTACAATGAGGAATTCACCTGGCGGCTAGGCGAGAACTATGCTGAGGAGTATGCAAGGGCACTGGAGAAGGGGCTGCCGGACCCCGTGCTCTACCTGGCTGAGAAGTTCACCCCGAACAGCCCATGTGGCCTGCATGGCCAATATCGTCTGGCGGGACACTACACCTCGGCCATTTTGTGGTGAGGGTGGGATGGAGACCCTGCTTGCCTAGATCCAGGAACAGGGTTTATAGCCATCTCTCCTCCTCTCATGTGGAGGTCCCTGGTGGGACAGGCTGGCACCAGTCACCACAGTACTTGCTTGGGAAGCCCACAGGCAGAAATCCCTTCCTCACATCTTTGGGGTGTCCTTGGATCCCTGAGCCTCCACTTGGGTTCCCCCAGGTAGAGGTGACTGGGCCAGCCTTCACCAGGTCCTGGCTCTCCAGGGTGGCATTCCTCTGCTGGCTGCTGGCCAATGTGATGCTGTCCATGCCCGTGTTGGTCTATGGTGGCCTCATGCTGCTGGCCACAGGGATCTTCCAGCTGTTGGGACTGCTCTTCTTCTCCATGGCCACATCACTCACCCCACCCTGTCCCCTGCGCCTGGGCACTGCTACACTGCACACTCACCGTGGACCTGCCTTCTGGATCACGTTGACCACAGGTGAGGCCCAGCCCTGGAGACAAGCTGGAGAGCTCAGGGCTAGGAAGGGAGGGTCAAGGACCATCATGTTGGTGGGGCTGAGGGTCTGGGGGCCAGGATGCCTTCCCCCTCTTTAAAGCCCCACCCCTCATCTCCAGTTCCACTCCCTGGTTCCACTCCCTCTCCCTTCTCATATATGCCTACTGTCCTGTGTGTTCTCTCTTTCTCTGTCCATGTCCCTTATCCCCTAATTCTCTTCACTCAGCTCTTCCCAAATCTTCCCATCTCATGTCCCCCCCCACACACTTACCCCAAACACTCTTCTCTGTGTCCCCCATTTCTAGAACCTTTCTCTGTCCCTGCCTCACATAGTCTTAAATTGTCCTGCAGTTTTATTGTCCTCTCCTGTCGCACTGTATCTATCCCTCATGTCCTTTCCCATGCCTCCTCCTCTACGCCCTGCACTTTCCACAGCTCTCTCCCCTCTCCCCCCACCCCCCATCTCTGTCTCTTTCTTTCCTGGGATGTAACTGAAAGATTACTGGGCTTAGAGTCCAAAACTCACAACAGAGCCACACCAGCCATATGATCCTAAGCCAGTCACCTTTCTGAACCCAAGTTGCCTTGAAGTGGAGATGCCAAGCCTCCCTTAAGAGTTCTGATGCTCTTGGGAGAAAATGTCTGTGAGAGGGTATCACCATCACTAAGCAAGATACCTATTGCCTCATCCCTAGGACTGCTTTGTGTGCTGCTGGGCCTGGCCATGGGGGTGGCCTACAGGATGCAGCCCCACAGGCTGAAGGTTTTCTTCAACCACAGTGTGGGGAAGAACCCTGGGCTGGAGTGGAATCCTGAGGAAGGGGGACTCCTGAGCCCCCGCTACCGGTCCACAGCCGAGAGTCCTGAGACCCAGGACATTCCTCTGTCAGAGGCTTCCTCCAAGGGATGCTGTGAGAAGAAGCACCCCAGTGTGCCTGCTCATGCCCTATAAGGTTCCTCTCCCTGGTGGCCACCCAGACTTCTGATCTGGCTCCAGACCTCTTTGGAGCCCCATAAAACCACCAGAACTTCCTACAGGATAGGTTTTATCAGCTTCCTTGTCCTAGTCTGTAGGTGGAGTACAAAAAGCAGGCTCTACCTATTGATGTTAAAAAAACAAGACAAAAGCTCTGAGGTGCTGGACAGATGTTGGGGCTGCCCATAAACCTTGTCACATGGTAAGACCAGGCATGGGCTGCCCCTTGGGTCCCGGGCTGAGCAGTTTCCACACAGCAACCCTGTCTTCCTTTGATGATTTGCCTCTTCGAGATACCATTTATTGAAACCCAACTTCACCCACATAATGTTGTGTGTGTGTGTGTGTAGAGTGGGGCTGGTTACCATGTGATTCACCTGTGGTCCCTCTCAGCCTTCTGCACCTCTTGTTTTCCTTTTTCCTGGGTCCCCTTAGTTCTTTCGTTACTTCCCCAGCTTGTGTGACCTCTTGGTACAATGAAAGACAGCACTAGGAGGGAGAAGAAACCAAACTTTGCATCCCAGGTATAATATTAACCAATTGTGTCACATTCCCTTTGAGCTTCAGTTCTCAAATTTGCCAAATAAAATTGTAAGACTTGCCAAAGGCCTACAAAAAATTCCCAGGATTTATGTTTTTTAAGCCTCGCTGATATCTACCCTGCGCCTCAGACACCACTCTGTAGTGAATAAACTCCCAAACGCCATTCCTTGCTAGCTCTCTTAGCGGGCCAGCGCAGGGGAGCCCACAGGGTCAGTGGAAGGGTGAGCTGCCCGGTCACTGCGACTTACCATCCACCCCGGGCAACCCAGGAAGATGCTGGCTCCTGTCAGTTCTCCTCTGGGTTCACTAGAGGGCGACCCTCTCCCAGAGCTTTTCCCGGGTTACTCCGGATCCTTCAGACAGAGAGACTCCGGGTTCGGGAAAGGCAGAGAAAGAGGATGTTCAAGGCAGAGCAGGAGAAGGTTCTGTTCTACCTCCTGCCCAGCGAAGTCTCCCGATGGCGATGGCGCGTGTGCCCCAAGAGCCTAGTGAAGCCATGGAAATTAATGGGGGGAAAGTTTTTTAAAAAACAAAAGGAAAAATTTTATTTATGGCACATGTCTGAGGCTGCCCATATTTTTCTGGGCTCCCGCAGCAGCGCAGCGCCCCTCCTGGAGCACTGCTCCCGGCCTGCTTGTGACCGAGACGAAGTAAGAGTCTTTTATTTACAGGTTAGTACTGATCGTGAAGTCTGAGGCCCCGAACTGCTTGTGTATTGGGTTGTGGAAGTTGAGAGGTGAACCCCCTCTTGCCTGATTACTGCAGTCCTTGACGTTTAGGTCCAAGAAGGTGCGAAGAGCGCTGGGCCGAGCGTAATGAAGACTCACCACGGCCCCTCCCAAAAGGAGGCACAGGACCCCTGCGGCGGCACGAACATGAGGAAAGGGGGCGGTCAGGACTCTGAGACAGAACCCGGTCTGTCCCTTCCATCTATCTGAGGCCTTCCCTCACATTTCCTGTCACCTCACACACGCGCGCGCGCGCGCGCGCGCGCAGGAAGGCCTCTAATATGGATTACACGATATACGAGTTCATGTGCTAACTGGGCAAGATACCGAACCCTTCTGAACCCCCTTCCCCTTATCTGTAAAATGGGCATAACAGCGCCTGCCTCTATGAAATATTGAGAGGAGCAAATTAGTAATATAAGTGAACTCACTTTGTAAACTGGAAAGCGCGCACCGGTATAAATCGCATCCCCATCCCAGCCGCCCCAGGCCCATCCGCTCAGTCCTCACCGGTGGCCAGCGTGACCCAAAAGGCAGCACCGTAGTGAGTGGTGAGCGCGGAGGAGCCGAGGCGGAGCGAACAGAGCGGCACGCTGGAGATGGAGGCGAAGACGAAGACAGAGAAGAGCGCGAACGTGCCGGTGGCCAGGAACGCCAGGCCTCCATACAGCGGGACGGGCATGGAGAGCAGCGCGTTGGAGAGGAGCCAGAGGCAGAACGCCACCCTGCAGGAGGACCAGCTACGCTGTGATCCAGCTCCTCCCAGCCCTTCCGGGCTCCCATAGCCTCGCTTCCTCTATGGCCCTACTCCAGAACGAAAGGCTGGGCGAGGTGACGGAAGCCCTGTGGAAAACCCCAAGGGGTGTAGCCGGCTCCCAGCTGTTGCTGGGTCTCTCCGGATTTCGAAAGTCAGTGCAGATCTCTTGACCTGAACTGCGCGGCCGTAATTCTCACCCCGAGCTGTATGTAACCGAAGTTCACATCCGCTGGCTCACTTGCCCCCACTACACACACACACACACACACACACACTGCCTTCCTTCCAGCTCTCACCACAGCGTGGCCGAGGCATAGTATCCTGCCAGCCGGTACTGTTGGTAGAGCCCGCAGGGGCTGCTCCTGGTGAACTTCTCCGCCAAGTAGAGAACTGGATCAGGCAGCCCCTTCTCCAGTGCCTCCTCGTAGTCCTCCGCATAATTCTTGCCCGGACGCCAGCTAAACTGCTCGTTGTAGTCGATGGTCTCGTTCAGCTGCTGCACAGGGGTCCCTGCAGAGGCCAGCGGGGTCATGGGTCTGAGCAAAGCCAGAGACCCAGCAACTAAGCGGATTCGGATCAAACGTTGTGATGCAAGAGAAATGGGTTTGGCAGTGGTTGGAGGAAAACACAAATCCATGAGGACCAAAAGTTATTTGAGTCTGTGGGATCTGAAAGGTCCTGTAGCTGCCCCTGCCACACTCACCCAGCCATGGGGTCTGCCCACCCCAGGAATTCGCTTTGCCCCAGCCCCCTCACCTGTGAGTGTGATATTAATTCCCTCCAGGCCCACATGCAGACCGACGTGGGCTCGAATGCGTGCTGCACTGAAGGCCTTGTAGGATGTGTTGGTGCTCACCCAACCTACTGACCATTCTGCGCTGAAGTGCACGGCTGTGGGGGGAGATAAGCGATGGAGGGTGGACAGGAAGAGGATTGGGTAGATGGAATTGAGAGAGTGGTAATGAGAGGTGGGACACTGCAGAGGGCCAGGTGGGGTTAGGGGTCGAATGTGGTATACGTGGTAAGGGCAGAAGAGTGAGCACTAGAAAGAGCTGGAGAATGGGGAGAGGGAGCAGGAAACCAACCCCAGTTCTTCAGTTTTCCAGGGCCCTCTGCCCATCTCCTTCCTCCCCCTAGGGCCTCTCTCCCCATCCCCTGCACCACACACTCACCCACAATTTCTGCGCCTATGAACAGACTTAGAAGAACTCTCACCAACCAGAACCAGCGCTGCAGGAACAGGTACTAGGTCAGGCCTGGATACTGCTCAATCAGAGCCCCCAAGACCTCCTTTGACCCCATGTCACTGGCATCTTAATACCCCAGCAACTGCCCTCTCTTGCCCTGCACCCTTTTCCCAGTTACATTCCTCATGTTTTGAGGCTCAAATCAGGCTTGCATTTTGTGCATGTCCCTCTAAGTCACTGGCATTTCTGTTTACTGGCCTCAGCCCCATTCCCAGTTCACCCTGCAACTAAGTTGTCTGTCTGCCTGCCTGGTGCTCTCCCTCCACCTTCACTCCCCCAGCTATCTGGCTCCTGGTCCTGGTTCCGCCTCCTTTTCTGGTCACTGCTGGTGAGGCTCAGTGAGTCCAGAAGTGCTAGGCAGGCAGGGGTTACCTCCCCCAAGAGAGGAAGGCCCCAGGATTCAGTCACCAAGTAGAGGAGGTGGGAACACAACCTCCCAGATATTTCTAAGTGCACCAGTTTCCCAGGGAACCAATGCAAGTCAAGTGTAGGTCCTCCTAGACTTGAAAAACAGACAACTTAGATTCTGGGAAAGGGGGAAGTCTAAGAGAAAATACCCAATCTACTACAGCTTTGAATCCCTTGCTTGAGTGTCTGACTCCTTAGGATGGGGGGCACCACACACATAAGTCTCACCCCAGCATACGGACATTACCTAGAGGACTGGATGGGAGTGGGGACCAGGGTGGAGCTGCAGTCTGGGTAGAGGCAGGAGGCCCCGGCATCACGTGAAAACTAGAATTGGCCCCAGGATTACTGGATGGGGCACCCACTCTCAACAGCCTCCTAAATGATCCTTCTGGGGTTAGTCTCTAGAATGTTTTGAATGGGACCTCTGGCCTTGGGAAGGGATGCGTGCTGCACCAGACTTCTGGGTCTGCTCCACCTATGCTTGTCTGGTTCAGTGCTTTCAGCCTGACTCTTCAGACTGAGGTCCTTTTCACAGTCTTAACCTGTCCTGGGTCCTCCAGAAACAAGCTGCCCATGACGCCCTTCACCCTCAGACCCGAGCTTCTAGCACCCCCTTACCGAGTGGCCACGAATCCCGGGCAAGATGAGCAAGAAGCTGATGGCCAAGCATAAAAACACCAGAATGACGATGAGCAGCGGGACGCTGAAGCTGGCTGGATGCCGGGGCTGGGGGTAATAAGGCAGCTCGCCATTCCAGAGAGTCATGCTGAAACCCGGCGATTAGCTGCTAAGTCTGTTTGTGCAGGAAGAGCGCGTCCTTGATGTTGGAGCCGGGTCCCACTTCTTTTTATCCCGCTCTTTGCGTGCTAGGGCTTAACTCAAAGTTGGTCAAGTGTGAGTCCCTCAACACGCCTGGGCGGAGTCGGAATTATTTCTTACTTGCTGTGGCCAGTTTCCTTCGCGGTTCTGCAGGTTCACTCTGCGTTTGGAAGACGCGCGGGACCGGGACCCCTTTTATAGCAGCCTGCGCAGAGTGCTGAGCAAATCCGAACTTGGCAGCCAAGTCGGAGCGGGAAGAGGACTTGCAAATAAGAGGCGGCGATCTCTATGCAAATGAGAGGAGCCCAGCCTCTTCAGCAGGAGGGCGAGACCGGAGTCCAGATGCTCACACTTGGCACAAGTCTGGTCAGAGTGGATACTAGCGTAGCTGGCCTCAGAGGACCCAGAGAGGAGGGTAAGAATGCAGTCCGCGAATCTGAAGATCTGCGGAGTTTGGGACGGAGGGATAGTGGGGTGGCGGAGGCAGAAAGCGGAGCAGAGATGCAAAGATGCCAAGAGGAAAGAAGACCTGACCCCGACAGGGGCCCTAAGCCAGAGGTTGGACCGGGGCTTGGGGCCCGATCTCCCCATCCCTCCTGTCCATGCACAAAAATTCATTGCGGGGTATGAGGGGCTGCAGGTCCCGGCCCCCAGCTCAGTAACTACTTTCTTTTCCCTGCTTCCTCTAGGAGAAGCAGTTCCTGAGGGGTTGGGGGTGAGGAGTGGAGGCTTTTGGCGAGCCCTGGGAGGTTGAAGGTAATGTCCTGCCCGGGAATGACATGCCCCGGAAGACTTGTCGCCTATGGGCTTCTGTAATCGGGGTTAGTTCTTCGACAAGTAGAGAGTGGAGACAAGCGTTAGTGCCTACTGGGCTACCAGGTGTCCCAAAAAGAGTGGCATGCTGGTGTGGGTCCTTGGTAATGCTTCTAAAAGCATCGCTCAGAGGTGAAAACAGCTGGCGCCTCCTCCCTGTGTACCAGCTGTAGGCATGGGGGACGCCAGCTCCATGTCCCTTACATTCCACCTCCTATCCTCCTAGCATGCTCCGCGCAGAGGCACTGGTGCTCCTGGGAGCTCTATTGAGTGGACCCCTGGATCCAGCGGGTGAGTATCAGGGGTCCCTAGCTTCGGGATGTCACTCAGCACCCCTGGGGAGGAGGGAAGGGAGAATTGCTGTCAAATGTCTCCCGAGGCTTAGAGAACCGGTCAGATCGCTGCGGCGCTCAGCGGGTTGGGAAATTTCCCAGCGCAGACTCCACGACGCGCAGGTATCGCCACTTGGGTAGGTTTGGGGGCGCTCCGCGAGCCAGAGAAGCACGGGTCGAGGTCGTCGGGTCCCAGAGGTGTCGCGGGGAGGCCAGCGCTGAGGGGACCACTCTCTGACCCACAGGCGGCCAGGACGCACACTCACTGCCCTGGGAAGTGCAGCGTTATGATGGCTGGTTCAACAACCTGAGGCACCACGCTCGCGGCGCTGCGGGTGCGTCTGGTGGCCCGGGTGGAGACTGGGGCTCGAGGGACCAGGCGTGAAGAAGCAGAGAGAACCCGCCGCCAGATGCCCGGCGGCCTGCCCCCCACCCCCACCCCAACTCTTATGCACTCCTGGGGCCAGGAGACCCTGGGGAGAGGGGGGATCTCGTCAGTAGAGGGTGGTGGTTGAGGAAGGAGTCGGGCAAGTTTCGTGGGCTGGTTGGGGACGGAGTGCTCTGACACGGCCCCGCTCCCGCCCGCTTCCTGCAGGCTGTCGACTGCAGCGCCTTGTACCAGCCCATTACGCGGACGGTGTGTATCAGGCTCAAGGGGAGCCGATACTGCCCAACGCGCGCCGACTCAGCGACGCCGCTATGCGGGGCAGAGCGGGGCACGCATCCCACCGCAACCGCACAGTGCTGGGGGTCTTCTTCGGTGAGCGCAAAGGGAGAAAACACTGGGGTTGATCCTCTAAGGCCCGGCTGCAAGCCCACAGGAGACCTACTTGAGATTCGCAGCCACCTCCTCCCCCCACCAAGCAGCACTTCGAGTTTTTCTTCATCTCGGAGGGATTTAGGGGTTTAATGAAGGGATATTTGCTCTCATGATTTCTTTGACCCCTAATTCCAAGCCCAGGAGTGCCACTGGACCCCCATTATAGCTCTTAGGAGCTGAGTTCCCTGTCACCGCTCCCCTGCGAATATGATAATATTCTCTCCCCCCAACCCTGCAAGACGGATGGAATGGCAGGATCTGTTAGGAGACGGGGCCTGGCTTGGGGTAGCCCTTATATTATTTATATTGATTCTCACAACAAATTTATGAGTCGGTGAGATGGTATTATCGGCCCCCCCCCGCCCTTTGCAGATTAGAAAAAAAGCCACAGAGCTGGAGGCGGAGATTGCACTCAAACACATCTGCCTGTTGGCTCTTGAGAAACTTTGAAATCGGTCCTGGCCTTGGGGAGAGGCTATTCTCACCAATGTGTACCCCTCTCCCACAGGCTACCACGTGCTGTCTGACCTGGTGAGTGTAGAGAGACCCGGCTGCCCCGCGGAGTTTCTCAACATCCGAATCCCGCCGGGAGACCCCGTGTTCGATCGTGACCAGAGCGGGGACGTGGTGCTGCCCTTCCAGAGGAGCCGCTGGGACCCCAAGACCGGACAGAGCCCCAGCAACCCCCGGGACCTGGTGAGACAAGGCAGGCGGCGGGGCGGAGGCTGGACCGAGGCGGGTGGGGCCCGGGGCTCTGGGCCTGGGGTGTCCAGTCGGGAGAGGCTCCCACCCGACACACACGGACACCCGCCTGGCCCTGGTCCTCCCTTACCCGCCTGGGCTACACGACCCCGGCTCACCTGTCCGGTGCCCCCGCAGACCAACGAGGTGACGGGCTGGCTGGACGGCAGCGCCATCTATGGCTCTTCGCATTCCTGGAGCGACGCGCTGCGGAGCTTCTCCGGGGGGCAGCTGGCGTCGGGGCCCGACCC